CCCACATGATCGTAGGCTTTCTCAAAATCGATGAATAGGATGAACGCCTGAACATTCCGCTGACGGGCATATTTAATGGTCTCATTGACCATCACGATATTGTCTTGGATATTACGGTTGGGCATAAACCCAGTCTAGTCTGGGTGTATTAGCATATTCATAAATGGGAGCAGACGATTGGTTAGTGCCTTGGCGACCATTTTGTAGGGGACAGGCAAGAGGGTGATAGGTCTGTAGTTTCTTATGTCCTCTTTGTCCCCTTTTTTGTAAAGGAGCGTTGTGACTCCCTGTCCGATCATGCCACCGAATGATCCCTCTTTTTGGACTGCCAGTATGTATCCCATGAGGTCATCCTTAAGAAGCTCCCAAAATTGCGCCCAGAACTCTTTGGGGAAGGAGTCAATCCCCGGTGTCTTCTCTTCGTCCATGTCTTGGAGGGCTTCCCAGACCTCTTGAGAGGTGAGTTGTTTTTCCAACTGTTGCGTCTGTTCTTGTGAGAGCCTCTCTTTTAACGCTTGCAGCAGTGACTCTCTCGCATGAGCAACCTCTTGAGGATGCTTCATTGGCATCTGGGAAGTGAAGAGATGACTGTAGTATTTAGCAGCGTAATCTACTATGGCATATGCATTGGTGGCCACCGGGGCATTAGATTCCATCGGGTGTTTGAGTCTAGGAACTGTACTGGCTCTCGTTTTGGCACCCGAGGAATCCGTTTCCCGTGGGTTTTTTTTTTTTGTTTTTTTTTGTTTTTTCCAAACAAAGTCAAGATTAGCATAAATCGAGAAAAAAGTCGGTGTACAATGACGATGGCGATAGCAGTGTTGATGCCGCCCAACGCATCAACCAGTCCTCTTGTAGACGCTGCCAGCCCCGTACAGACTCTGCCTTGTGCGACATCCTCTATCTTCTCGACCTGAAGGAGAAAAAAATCACGAACAAGGAGCGCTAGCGCTACGCGACCCGCGGACGGCAGGGCCCGTCCGCCAGGAATCGCGCAAACATTCGGGAGATGGCCGCCACACTGGTCGCCTATCCCGAGTGACTGCTGCAACGGCAGCCCCGGGCCATCTTGTGCCGATTGTGAGCATACTCACGTGGGGCATGACCGATGTGTTGACACCAGCGTGAAAACATACGAAGCTGTATAGAAGGTGGGAGACATGTCAAGCTTGAACATGCATGTAAGTCAACGACGACGGCGACAAGTGTTTGCGCAAAGAAAGAGACAAGTGAAGTGCGGTGGAGTGAACATACTCGGGCGGAGCAGAGCTGTGAGCGAAGTCGGCATCGTTCAGACTGCTGACAACATCGCGTCGCTGGGGGTACAGACAACGACAGAATAAGGGCAGAGGAGAGGACAGGAAATGACGTGGCAGCGAATGGGGGTGAATACGTACCTATGGAATAGGAGTGAGGGGCATAGAGAGGGGATCCGAAGAGGAAGAAACGGCAGCACAAGCGAACCACGATCGAAACAGTGAAGGGAATAGAGCGGGGAGGAACGGTGATGAAGGTGGACACCTACGCATGGGACGAAGGAAGGAGTATGCTAAAAGGGAGGTGCGCGACGAGAGGAAGACGGAAATCGACGGGCGACGTATCGGAGAGGACCACGACAGATTGAGACGAAACAACTGAATGAACGGATGCGCGAGGCTCGGGTGAAGAGGATCACTGACTACTGCAAGTATCTATATCAAGCATGTCGAGACCTTCCCCCCCATCCCCCGTATCCACCACCCTCTTGTTCTTCGCTATTCCTCCCCTCATCCCCCGTATCCTCTACACTGTCACTCCCCACTTTCCCCGGTCTCACCCCCCCATCATCCAGCGGCCCCACCCGTCATCTTATGCAACATCTGCCATCTAACCCCCAGCGCCTCTGACCCCCGACGACCCGGCGATAAATACCTAACAATAAATATACTAAAAATATACTAAAAATTGAACGCGTGAGGCATCACAAACAGCAGGCAATTCCGATTGCGGAACGACCCAGCAAACCACCGGGTAATCTGGGCGGCAAAGCTGCACAATCTTAGAGACATAGTGAACTCGTTGATACAGTGCCGCCACGTTTTTTTTTTGTTTTTTTTTTTTGTTTGTTTTTTTTTTTTTTGGTAGCCGGACCAGGCCGCCGACCGGTGCCACGTGGCATCGCCCCCCGGTGGGACGTTGGTAGGATCAGCTCCTGATGAATCAGGTCCCGATGGCCGGTGACACCAGTCACAAACCGCCCAACAGGGGGCTTTGGTGATGGGTAGACAACAACACAAAGCATATGTCCATCCCCCGTGCTCGGAGACAGCAGGCAGGGACATGGATACACGTATGGACGCCCTCCCCCAACCCCGAGGGGACAGAAAGGCTGATCGACCGGATCCCGTGGGTAATGAGAGAGCAACTGAAGGCAATAACAAGGAGGGAGCAACTGAAGGCAGTAACAAGGAGTCTTGGAGAGACAAAGTGACGGGCTCGGTTCTAAAAGACACACCCTCCTCGTCTGCATCAGGGGGCACCAAACGGCCACCCCCTCAATTGCTAAAAGCTCTTTCTGCCCCAGCACAGACTGACGMACACAAGTCCTCCACCTTGGACTCCATGGCCCCGCTCAAGAGCCACTTTATACAACAGYTGTATGTGGAACCGGAGAGGAAATTCCAGGTCAAAGACGGGTACATCTATCCCCATACAGTTTTCCCACCCCAAGCAAAGGCCATGAGGGACACGATCTATTCACACAAAGCTGTGCAATTTCGGTTCCAACCGACTCACTCGGCACATCCAATCAACGACAAGGTTAAATGGATCACAGATAAGCTTGGGCTCATTAAACCAGAGCGCCAACTTGTCCACGACCACTTCCTCGTCGAGGTGGACAACCTAAGCTGCATCACAGTTGTTGCCCTTTACTCCACATACAAGCACCTTCTACTGAGAAACAAGTTTCTGCAGTTCAGAGGCACACCTGTGCAAATCGCAGCGTGGACCCTGGCTGACCCGCAGTCCAGTGACGAAAGGAGGGAGTACTTAATGAAATCGAACTTTTGGGTTGAGTTCAGATTTGCCCCGCTTTGCGTACAAGGGGCCATTCTCACTGACCTCGAGAATATTGCCCATGTAAAAGGGTACATCACCGACCTCCCGCAATTTCTCAGCAAACGGGACGACTCCCTCTTGGTGGCAGTGGACTGGGATTCTTCCTACCCCTTCCCCCTCAATGAAGAATGGAGATACTCACACGGGGGTAAGGAATTCTCAGTCCCGGTCAGCCACACCCAAGACCCATGGTGCTATGCTTGCAAGACACAAGGACACCTCTATACTGATGACGACTGTCAGTCCAACCACAAGAAGAAGATTAAAGGGCTCATGATCCCCCACCCCACGGACGAGGAGAGGTGGTACCCGGAAGAGAAAGAGCTGGAAGACTGGGTCTTCAGAGCTCATGCAGATGGGCGCCTTGGGATATGGCTATGGCAGGGGAAGGGTCAGCCTACAGCCTTTCCTTCCGGGGCCAAGGTAGTGATTAACGATGGCCATGATGCGAAGGGCAAACGAAGAGCCCACCAGGATCAGCAAGAAACTGGACGAAATGGGACACAAGTGGGGAAGGGGAGCGAAGCTGGCAGACCAATCAGACCGGAAGAAACCAGGAGAGGGCAGGCTGAAGGATACCGAGAAACTGGACTGAATGGGACACAGGTGCGGAAGGGGAGCGAAGTTGGCAGACCAATCAGACCGGGAGAAACCAGGCGAGGGCAGGCTCAAGGAAACAAGGGTAAAAGTGCTGGGGCAGAGCCGACCCTGCCTGCCTACCAACCCCGCGATGGCCCGGGCCTGCTACCGCCCCGCCAGGTCTATAGACCCAAATAGGTCCGGCCTGTTGAAGGACTGGACCAAGCAGCTCATCGCCACCCGGCGGCGGCCTGGTCCCCTGCACAAGTGAACTGAACAAGAATGGAAAATGGATTTAGCCAACAGCATGTTCCACAGGCCGTGGGGCTGCTAACCGCAGAGGGCCGTCAGCAGGCCGAACGGCCTGACCCGCAGGGGAAGACTGACCCTCACACCAGAACTGGCCATCAGCATGTTCCACAGGCTAAGGGGCAGTTAACCCCTGTACCCCCTGCGCAGCCAGAGATACAGGGGCCGGTTCAGGTGAATGTACAAGGGCAAGGGGATCAAAGGGTGACAATAGCAACAGACACAGGGGCCATAACAGAGAGCAGGACGCAAGGGCAAGGGGTTCGGAGGGTGACAACAGACATAGGGGCTATAATTACTGAAATCACAGAAACTGGACCAGGGATCAGGGCACAAGGTCAAGGGGATCAGGGGACAACATTCAACCGTCAACTGCCAACAACATTAGGCCCTTTGAAGGCCCCTGAGCCCCATCGACGGACGAAGAACGGAGCTCTGAACACAACTGGCCATCACCAGCCACCGCATGCCGGGAGACAGTTAATCCCTGTGGCATCAGGCCAGCTGCCTTCAGGCCAAGCGAAGGCCCTCCAACCCCAACAACAGACGAAGAACGCTGCTCAGAAGATAACTGCCCCTCAGCAGCCACCACAGGCCGGGTCCAAGTTATCTCCTGTAGCAACGGGTCAACCACAGGCCGGGCCTGCGCCCCAAATGCAGAGTAATAACGCTCCCCAAACCATAACTGGCCAACCACAGAGTAAGAATGGTCCCCTGACGATAACTGCCCAAATGCAGCTTCCTCAAGCCATGAGATTGCTATCCCCTGAGCCCTCTGCTGGCCCGGAGTCACCGGGTCCGGGTCAGGTGAAAACGGACACGGGGGCAATAACTATCATAGAAATCACTGCTACTGGTCCACAGATCCGCCCAGCACCTCAAGGGATTCAGGAACAGACAGCAAGGAAGCACACAGAGCTCACCACCTTGAGTGATGAATCCGGAACGCAGATAGATGCTCCCCATGCCTCAAGTACAAACATCCAACAGACCGCCGCTATGAAGGAGGTGGTCTCGGAAGTGACTGGGGAAAATAAATTCCTAGCCCTGAAAACGCCCCTCTATCCTACCGTCCACCAAGAGCGGTTGTCCCCACCTGCAACACCACAGAGTGGACAGACACAAGGACACGAAGGCCAAATCATGCAAGGGGACGACCACTCCCTCAAAGGGGAAGATCACGGGAATGGGAAAACGCTTACACCCCAGCACAGGTGGCACAAAGCCAATTCCCTCCTTCACAAGATCAAAGGCGTGGCTTTTCCTCAGCATTGGGAGTTGTCGACAGCAAAACAACCTGGGCCGGATGGCCCGGCTACACAACCCACAAAAATAATGGGGAAACAACAGTGCTCTCACGACAAGGGTGAGAACACCCCGCCGCCTCGCCACAGCCCCCTCCCACGAGAAGAGCCCCCCGCTGAGGTACAAGAGTTGGTGACAGGGCAAACAGGGGAAGAACAGTGCTCACGGGACAAGATTGAATACCGCCTCCAGCCCCGCAGCCCCCTCCCGCTCAAGGACAAGGACACACTCGATGAGGCACGAGAGACTCTGTCGGAGCCCCCGAAAGATCGCCAGCACGAGACCAAACCGACACGACCTCATCCCGAGCCCCTTTGGGATGACCTCCGCCAGGAACCCCCACCTGCCCTGCTGACCGGGGAGCCTCAACATTGGGGACTGCAAGATGGCCAGCACGGGACCGAACCGACAAGACCTCATCCCGAGCCCCCTTGGGATGACCTCCGCCAGGAACCCCGAGCTGCCCTGCTGACCGGGGAGCCTCAACATTGGGGATTGAAACAGGGGCAGGAACGGACTCACGATCGGACCCGGAACCAACAACACCAGCAACTGTCCATTCTCCAGGGGCAGCAGTCACAAATGCGACAGCAACTGCAGTATGCCCAACAACAGCAACAGCAACAGAAGCAGTTGCTGCAACACCAACAACAAGTGCTGCAAGCCCAAGTGGAACAGCTACGCTGGTTCCATTTGCAAACACAACATCAGGAACTGCAACATACTCAAACGCAGCAGGAACAAAGCCAAACGCAGTTGCAGATGGAACAACAACTGCGCCTCCAAGACTCACAGCAAGCTCGGGAGGAAACCCAGTGCCAACCGCGGATGCTGTTGCTAACGCCTCAGGAACAGCAGTCACAAATGCAACAACAACTGCAGGGTGCCCAACAAGAGCAAGAGCAACACCAACAGCAAGTGTTGCAAGCCCAAGCGCAACAGCAACACCGGATGCATTTGCAAACACAACTCCAGGAAGAAAAACGTCAAATGCAGCTCCAGATGCAACACCAACTGCACCAGGGACGGGAACAATTCGACATCTCGATGCAGCAACAAGATCCACAACATGCTCAGGTGGAAAGCCAGTGCCAGCTGCAGATGCAGTCGTTAACGGTTCAGGGACAGCAGCCACAAATGCAACAACAACTGCAGTATGCTCAACAAGACCAAGAGCAACAGCAGCAGCAGTTGCAACACCAACAGCAAATACTTCGAACCCAAGCGGAACAGCAACGCCAGTTGCATCTGCAAACACAAAGGGAGCTGGAATGCCAGGCCCTTGCACAACAACAAATGCAGCACGGCGTGCAGGACCCTGTGCAAGGGCGCTCAGGGCTCTGCCCCCAGCAACACCTGGTATTGCTACACGCTCAACAACAACAGCAATCACAACGACACATGCTTGAAGGAGATTAGCTGAAACAGTTCCACCTCCTGCTGCGAGCCCAGCTGACACAGTACCATCATCAGCAACAACAACACCAGTTGACGCAACAACAACAGATCCTTCAACACTTACACCTGCAATGGCAACAGCAGTTGTGTCATCAACAGCAACAGATCCTGAACCAGCAACAGGATCACCTGCTTATGTTCTGGCAGCAGGAGGTGGAAAGACACAAACCACAAGCGCAACAGATGATGCTGCTGGGTCTCTCGAACAAGGCACTCTCATACTCATCCGAGGGCAGGCAGGAACCTCAAGATATGGACACATCTGCCCCAAACCACACCTTGCAGCAGGAGTCGGAAAGTCAATTCCCTCCGGTGGTGGATATGGACATCGACGTTGATGTCATCCTACCCCCTCCACCTCCGCCGGTAGGTGAAGACTGTCCCCCCCCACCGCTTACTACCAATAAGGAGGTAAGACAGAAGTTGGGGTTCCTCACAGAATGGACCCTCATGAAGATCTTTTCACTTATAGACGACAGGCCTGCAGAAACATTAGGGAACAAACACTGGAAGGAGGCTAAAATGGTTCTCATGTACAGCCCCCGAGTCCTGGCCACAGTCGAAAAGTATAAGGATATCTCATCAATAGATTGGATGGATGTAGGCGCTGCGATTGTCCTTGTGGTGAACGAGTTCCTTGATAAAATACAGAATTATGCTGAGACCCAGTTTCGGGGAGACGGCCTTGGGATTGTCCACGGGCCCGTGGCTGCCACCGAGAAGGTGTTCCTCTATGATGGCCTGGCCTGGCCCGAAGTGCTGATTCACGAACTGTGTGACACACTGTACCCCCCCTCGCACGAAACTGTACAACAGCTAAGAGAGGGGCTGCCCCGACCGACCACCACCATGGTTCTCATGCCGCATGCTCCCCCTGACACACGGGAACAACAGCCCGGGCCCGGGACCCTGGAAGGATGGGTGGCCATAGTGGGGGATCCCCGAAATTTGGAACATAGGCTGCAGTGTGACCTCACTCGAGCGATCGTGCTGCGAGACCCCCACCTTCATCGGCACCGGGAAATTGTTATCCTTAGTGATGAGGACGAAGACAACTCACTACAACAGGCGACGGGAGAACAAGAGGAACCACAGGAGGAAGTCCCCCCAAAGAAGTGCAGGGAACTGGTGAGACTCCAGGAGGATGACACTACCCTACTGGCCATGCCTCATGGAGTCGTCATATTTCCCCTGGTTCAGGAGCGTGAAGGGGGGGAATGGCTGTTGGGGTTGGGCCCTCCGCCTGGCAACACTAACCAGTCAAGCCAGTGCAGACCTAGCACGACCCCGACAGCGTTTGCGCTGGCAGGGTGGAGGGGCACCCCATCCACAGGCGTCATTCTCAAACGAATAAGGTATTGGATAAGAGAAGCTAATATACACAACGAACTGGGAGTGGTGTTGCCAAAGTCCCACACATTCCCCAAAGGGGTCACCCCGATCATTCTGCTGATTGTTCCAAAGGAGAGAGCATCCAAATCTGGCTCCACTCTCAAGTGGTTCAGTCACTAGCAGCTCATGAGTCTGAACACGGCGTGCTTTACAACAAACTGCGCCTGGACTGCGAGCAGAATGGTAATCCTCATGCAGATCTTCCTGGAGGACAATATTTTAGAGGAGCACAATCAATGGGACGACCCCCCATTTGTCCTCCCCATCAAGACTTTGGATTGAACTGATGATTTACGAACAACCATTGACGCAAATGAATCAAAATACAAGGGGACAGCAGCCACTGGCCCAACCTCCGGTCATCCGTTGTCCCAACCCCGGCTCAATGTCACAACCCCAACTGTTGCCCGCACCACAAATTCCCCAACCGCCCCCACGACCCCCAGACCCCCCTCAATGTCCACCTTCCCCCCGGCTCTTTCCCCCCACCAGGACACCCCCCCCATGGGCAGCAAAGCTCGCTAGAGTTGACATTGATATCCGTTCGCTCAACGTCAATGGATTGATCCAAGCGAATACATAAAAAAAAACTGCGATATGGAATATGTTAAAGAACCCGGCCAATGGGGGTTGGCCGGACGTGGTGTGTGTTCAAGAGACACATCTGCAGGATACCCCGCAGCATACATCACAAACAAAGTTCATCTGGCCATATGCATGCTACGCCGCGCCAGCGAGGGAGAGGGCGTCGACAGGTGTGGCAATCTGGCTTCCCCCCTCCTCCAGGCTCAAACCGCTCAATGTTGATTACGACAGGCAACAAGGAAGGTGGGTCTGCCTCAAGGTGGCCTATGAAGAAGACGAATTTTACTTGGCTTGTGTCTATGCGCCCAACGAACCGACAGGTAGAATTGACCTTTTCCTCTCCCTGCTCCAACATCTACCAGACGATGCCCCTGTCATAATCGCAGGCGATTTCAACACGACCCTTGATCCTCTGATGGATCGCAGATCTGCTGCACATCAGTCCAGCCATGCGTCTTCCTCACAAACGAACTTGGGCCCTGACATACTCATGCTCAAGCAGTTAATGGCAGAGAAGAACCTGGAAGATGCCTTTAGACTGTTGCATCCAAGTCAGAAGGCATTTACCTGTTTATCATCCAGGGGAGAACATGGTCTGGCCAACTCATGAATAGATCTCACCCTTGTGTCAAAAGATCTAATAGGGCTAGTCACCACTGCAGAAATAACCACCATAAGCCCTTCTAAATCCTTTGACCACAGGATGATAACACTGGGCCTCTCACTCCACACTCATATCCAAAGAGGACCGGGCTTCTATAAGCTTAACACCTCCCTCCTCCGCCTGCCTAAATTTAAAGACATGATCACCTCCTTCTGGCAATACTGGCAAACACAAAGACCGCAATCGGGGGAAAGGGTGGCCTGGTTTAACGACGGGGTCGCACAACTAAGAGACCGATCTAAAAAGTTTTCAATCCAATATGCCAGAGACCGCAAAGCCATCTTAGATAGGCTCATGCAAGAACTGGAAAAGTGGGATGAAGACCTTATGGAGGACCCCCTTCACCGCCCCTCCTTTGATAAACTGCAGGAAGCCAGGGACCATCTTCAAGATTATGTTACGCACCAGTCGGAAGCTTGGAGGATACAGGAGGGAGCAACTAAAGGCAGTAACAAGGAGTCTTGGAGAGACAAAGTGACGGGCTCGGTTCTAAAAGACACACCCTCCTCGTCTGCAT